GCTCAAATCATCAAATACACAACATTTTTTTATGCTTCTTATTTCTGAATTATGTAGTTTACATGTACACACATATTCATGACAGGCCTGTCATCAGCTGGTTTGAGCGAGCACGCACACTCATTGTGTAATTCTGTTCTTCCAGTCCTTCTAGCCTGGCTATCAAAATAAAGCAGGTCTCTCAGCCTCCGGTAACCTCGTCAAGCTCCCTTGAGACACACACAAACACATACACACACACAGTGTGTGTGTGTTCTCATAGTCAGTTTGTTTTGGCTTTGAGAAAGATCGGCCATCATCACCTTGGCAAACAATTCCAGGAATCCTGTATAAATTATTCATTTGCACAAGCTCTCCCGTCTCCCTCCCTCTGCTCCTCCTTTCACCCTCTTCCTCCAGGAAACGGACTTCACTCTCCTTGACAAAGCACTTTCTCTGTTTCCCTCATTCATTCAACAAGTGAGGAAATGGATATGTGGAGCAAATTCACAAAATGGCTACCCAAGGTGCAACTAAGTTAAGCAGCACAGTAGGAAAATAGAGGAATTTATTCATCAGGCTTTCTATTCGTGTGGCACTCACTTTGCCAAAGAGAGAGCATTTGAGAAAAAAAAAAAAGAAAAAAAAAAAATCAAAATGTAGGCAAGCGTACGAGAGATAAACAGGGACCACAACAGAGAACAGAGGGAGCGAAAAAAAACACAAAGCATCCCCCACCACAAAGTCAGCAGGGCACGATGCTGAGGCAGCCTAATGAGCTGCGCTAATTAAAATCACTTATTGACAGCAAGCGAGGGTGATTACCTCCACCCTGCACTCTTTGCCATCATAAGAGACACTGTCAAAACAAATTACCCCCCGGCAGCCGCACAGATCCCTTTCATAGCAACTATTCAGCTCGGCAGCAGCAGTAGGGGAAACTGTGTATCTGCGGGAACTTGAATTGCAGTGTTTGTGTGTAAAGACACAACTGGTGCTACCATGTAAGGGATGGGGAGTAGATATTTATGTGCGCCCCGTGTTTATACCTATTCCCCCTCTCTTTTCAATCGCGCTCTTAGTTTATCATTTCTTTGTCACACTGCAATAAATCTTCAGCACAAGCGAAGTAATATGCCTGCCTGCATCCAATAATCCAGCCTCCCTCCAGTCGCACCAATAACGGGGACAGCTGAGGGGCGTCTGTTTACCACTCACTGATGTCACCACAGACACTCGTTCACCAGGGATGGGAGATTTTGTGTGTGTGTGTGTGAGAGAGAGTGTGTTGGGGGGGGTTATGCATTATTCAGAGATCTCAGTCGTCTCCACCGGGCTTATTGATAAACAAAGGAGATGCACAGGAGAGGACAAGTCGATTAACCCATTTACCCTGAAGGCCCTCACTTCTTTCCTGTCTCCACCCCTTACCCCACCACCACACCCCTTTTGTTACCCACTTGTTTTGTCCACCGCCACCATCATCTAACCACAACAACCAGCTCCACCCCCACCCTGCATCACTACAATCTCCTTGTTGCTTTACAGAGAAATGCTCAGCAACGTGAAGGAAGGGGGGTGGGCAGCTCCACGATAAACTGTAAACACACCTAGTAAGCGCGCATGCACACACAGAGACACACACACCACGTGCCTACAGAAAGTGTCAACGCTTGATGAATTGCGCAGTGTGCTGCTGTTCCAACTGGGCTACCCTCCCACTGATGCCATTAACCTTCTGGATCTGAGGGCCATGAAGCCTCCACCCCACCCCTCTCCATCTCTCTCTCTCTCCCCCTCTGACAGACTCCCACTCTCATACATCATATCACACAGCTAATGACACAAGGACCATCATTCACATCACATCGTTGGGGCGGCGGGGGCAGAAAAGGGAGGAGGGCGCAATGAAAAGACATAAGGGCGCCAAGAGGAGGTGGAGAAGGAGAATTAGGGAGGCAAAGGCAACTGAAGGAAACAGAAAGCAAGTGTGAATCAGAGAAAATGGAAATGTAAGTGCAGGAAGATAAAAAGGGGGCAGTCTGGAGATTATGTTCATCTTTTGTTCTTCTCCTTTTAAAGTAAACAGAATAAAAACATTATGCTGATGTGATTTCACACAGCTGACTACAGCCTCGGGTCACATCGTTAGCTAAACGGAGCGGTTTTGCTGTGCTGTCTTCAGGTGCAATCTGACTTTTACAGAGGGTTGATTCTTTATTTGGGCCTCTGGTGACTACAGTATGTGTGTGATTACGATATCTTACTCTAACTACTCCAAATGTTCTCTGGCATACAGTCCAGATCAACCTGTGCATGCATCAAAACTCATCAGGTGAGATTTCTCAGAACAAGTACAGACATCTTACAGGTAGAAGTCACAACTTACAGCTATTTTTATTCTCTGGATTCATGTTAAAAAAAACCTAGAGCCCAAACTAACATCCTGAGGGAATAAAATGTGTCCAATAGTCAGTCCAAAACACCCCAACCCCACTGAAAACATTATTCATGTTAATTTTCTAGATTTGCAACTCTATAGTATTATAGATTTAAAAAAACAAAAAACAAGGTCAAAGCACTGCTGGAGCTACTCAACGTTTTGTTTCTTGCTAGAGGACTGTTCAGTAAGTCAATTCACTATTGACTACTTCGCTACTATCGGGACTGTTCCACAAAACAAAACAAAAAAGCAAAAAAAACACCAACCTGCTTCAAACAGTCTGGCCATGACAGACCAAAGATCAACTGGAAGTACACCAACAAATGTGGCCAGCGCTTCTAAACCTAACTCGACGGTAACGTGACATGGAGTGAACTGTGGACATTTTTGATACAGCATGATGCCCAGTACTGGGTGGCAGCTGAACTAATGAGCTTTTAGCTCAAATGGCACTTTGGAGGCTTGGAGAATAAAGCAGGCAACGTATGTGCTCACTCACACACTCAGAAAGGCAAACCGCACATCGCACCATCTTCTCAGAATTTGCGCCAAATACTTCACTTTAATCTTATCAAACCATCCACATCAGGCAGCGTGCCCTTCGTGTTGTTTAGCCTGTCAGCGTTTTCACTACAGGAAGCCAGTATGTGTACGCTCCCAGAAGCATTTAGGGATGAGGGTAGAAACGAAGATCAGGTATGCATGTGTATGTGTTTATATTCTTAATCACTAGGAAGGGATGGGCGAGGGGGGGGGGGGTGTTTTGGCTGTACACAAAGCATCTCTGATATGGCTACATACCTGTTTGTGCATCTCAATGTTAAGCCCGTAGGACATCTCATAGTACTGTAAAAGAACAGAGAGAGAGCAGAAAAAGACATTATAAACTTAAATGAATTCATATGTTGAATTAATTAGAGACAGATGTTTATCCATAATGACACCATTCTTAATTGAGCAAAACGCAAGACAGTCCAAACTGCTCTCGACTTTTCTCTGAACGCACAGAGAACTCGTGCAACAAGACAAACAGTGGTTAACTGGTGTGACATCTTATCGGTCCCCTCAAGCACCCAAACAAGAATAAAAGAAGTCAATCACATGTAGAATAACAACTGAAGCGCGGGCGAAGTGACATTAGCCGACGAGGCTGACATCTCAACGCACATTTTTCAGCCGCGGCAGACGCTCGCCTGGCTGCAGCGCCTGTTTACTTCTACTTGGCACGGCCTCGTCTTTGAGCACAAACCCCGTCCAGACAGCAAGGAGAAAGCCAATACTATTATTGAAAACAACATTATCTGCTGCTGATTGCCAAAAAAGCTTGCGAGCCCACCAACAGATACAAACTAAAGCCTCGTAGTTTGTCTGCCTTGTTTATCAAACACACAGCAAACAGCTTCCATTTATTGTAGCTACTCCCACCACCTTCTGGTTCCTCACAGGGAAAATAATATTTAACAAACGTACTGCTGCGTTTGGTTAAAGTCATTCCTTTCATGTACAAACAAGATAAGCACGCACATACACAAGTGTGAGGTCTAAGTTACACAACTTGTCAGATAAAGATTGTTCTTTTTTTCTCCTTTTTTTCTTACCATGCACACAATGAAGCCTTTCCTGTATTAGCAAGAAGCTTTGAGCTGGCTTGTCTTTACAGAGGCACAGATTTCTTTGTCTCCCATTTGATCATCAGAGAGCTCTGAATTGACTATAATAAGATTTAACTGCACTATTGGAACTGTTTTACATTTAACCCTTTGCAGCACTTTGATAAGCATCAAGTATTATCTCACTTCTCAAGTATGGTTTCCATTAAAAGGTGAAAGCTCTGACACATGCAGTGCACAAAGCAAGCAAAATGACATGCAGCAAGTAGCAGGGTCAGATTTTTAACTTCCTGCTCTCTGACTTCGAACGTGATTTAAGCTGCGACAAAAAGCTACTCATCTAGTAAATGCCCCTGGGTGTTTTTGGTGATGTGAAACCCTTACAGACACATTATGAACTTGCATGCTTTTGAGTTTATAATCAGAAACAATACAGAAACATGAGAACATTTCTCATCTGACAAACTGTGATCGGCACATCTTTAACATTTTTGAATGAAGGGGGGAAAAAAAGACTTAAATCCATTACTTACTTTGATTATCAAATGTAAGTTTTTTTCCATTTTCCATTCATTTTTTTACTAATAGAGAGATAGATTTTTACTGATATTTCAATGACAAGTAATTATCCAACAAGTAGTTCATTATCGTTGCAGCTGGGAGGAAAAACACACACAAAGTCTCCCAATATGTGAGAAATCTCTGGGTGTGACCACATGGCTCACTCTGGGAGAGTTAAGATTTAAAACTTTCACACACACACAGGAAGCTGTCTGATTCTCACACACACACAGCCAGCAGACCAGTCATTAACCCCCAGTGGGCCATGCTGGGTGTGTTAGGGAGGGGTGGTGGAGGGTCATAAAGAGGACCCCAGAGCCACTGAGAGGAGGGGTGGGGGGGTGGTCACACCCCACGATCAATAGTTGGACGTTTGACCTCGGCTAGAGTTTCACCCCTCCTCCCTTCTTATCCCATGAAAACTCAGACGTGAGTCAACAGTCTTAACACAGGCTCTACAAAAACAACCAGGTTCTTTTCAGCACCTGTGACTGTTCACCACCTGAGGCGAAAGGGAGGAAACGCCATTCAAATCCTGTTCTCGACTTAATAGCTGTAGTACTCACCATGACGTAGTGACGCTGCATCTCCGTCTTTTCGTTGGCCAGTTTGTCATATTCTACTTTAAGGCTGGGTGGAGAAGAAAAAGCATTGCATTTGTAAAAAGGATCGGTACACCGATGCAAAACGTTTGGTTTTTGTGTGCCACGTTATGATTGCACAAAGCTACAGTAAGGGAACAAAACATCAACGGCTTCTGCTTCACGTTTCCAGGAAGCCGTTGGTTTTTACAGTAGTAGTCTAGTCATTACCTGTGGTACTGGGCCTGCAGGAACTGAAATTCATCTTTGATCCTATCGCAGGACTCTGCTACTGTGAACTTGAAGCCAGGCTGCCCTGGCTGGTGAGGAGCCTGAAAAGTGTGAGATTGGAGATACCACAGGTGTAAATAACATCATCACATAGCTGAGTTCTCTCTTGCCACCTCCTCCTCTCCTTTATTTTATTTTTTTGATAACACCCCCCAGTCCTTTTTGAATGGTTTGTCTTCTCATTTCCCTTGAGTCTTGGACTGGCAGAGGGAGCTGCTTTCACTCAACTTGTGCAGTGACAGAGGTGTGACTTTATCCGTTTGCCATGTAGAGTCTCTAAATCACACAGTGCTGTTTTTTACTGCACAATTAACTTTCAGGACTGTAAAAAGAAAAAAACCCTGATGATCTACTTTACCGAGTTCAACACAATCTCAGATCTTGTTTCCAATAAACACCACCTCTCGGTGCCTCTCCTTGCCACAGTGAAGCCCTCAGCAGCACTGATGCAGACCATAAATAGTAAGGTGTGGATCAGCAGCTCCACTCTGACGAGCTAATTAGGCCATTTTGAAGGGCAGCGCTTCTGCATCAATTTACAAACAGCGACTACAGACGGGGGACTTACCGGATGCCGGCCTTGTGGATACATGTCGAGTCTTTTTTCCACACGGGAGTCGGTGTGTTGTTTTTCTCGTGCTTTCTTTCCGTAATCCCAGCGAAGGTGCGGTAAATCCCCGCCACCCCCTCCCCGATATGCGCAGGATGGCGGCGGACAAAGCCTCGTTCTCGGCTGCGAGGCGCACACTCAGAGCCAGCCCAGCGGATGGATCAGCTCCTTTCTTTTGTACCTAAACAAACAGAAAACAGCTGGATCACGTTCACAGCGCCTGAAAGCAACACGAACGCAGAGCTTTACGAACTCTCCGATACACCTTGTGCAAAATGCAGAATAAAGTAGTTTTGGGTTTTTTTACCCACTAATTCTCTGAACGTGTGAACCACAAAACATAAATCTGTCGTCTAGATGTGCAAAAGAAAAGAAAGGGAAAAGAAAAAACCAAGAGTGGCAGCAAAATGCGTTTGATGCCACGGATCAAATAAATCCCAAAGTTTAGACTTTTGATCACACCCGCAACGACACGATGCGCTTTTTTGAGGGGGTTTTCCTCGTAAATCTAACGAGTCGTCTTCCACTAGAGGGTAAAGAAAACACGCAACTGTTGTTTTTGGTGGTCCTGGAAGATCAGAAAACAAGGAGCTGCTGCTTTCAAAGTCGGCTGCCATAAAGCCACCGCCACCACTACTACCACCCGTCTTGTTAGCGGCTCTCTTCATGTAACCCCCCTCTTTTTTTTCTTTTCTTTTTTTACCTTTGTCTCGACTGATTCCTCTCCTCCTCTCCTCTGCACAGGTAAGAAGAATATATATGAAAAAATATTATCCACACGAAGCTTAATATCCGGTAATCTGTAACGTTCACCGCAGATTTGATAAGAGGGCGGACAATTGTCCGTCGTCGTTTCTGTTTTTCATACACTTCTTTGCTCTTCTTTGCCCCCTTGAAAGTCCTTTAAAAGCCCCGGTGATTCCCGAGACTGAGAGCGTCGCTCAGTCCGCTCGGACGCTGGAAACCCCTCGACTGGGACGAGTTTTTGACCGCAGACAACTTCAAAGAAAGCCTCTGTTAGATCCAGTAGCAGCTCGAAACTCTTCCAGTAAGTCCAGGGATTATTATTTTGCGACTCAAGCGGTTATTTTTTTTTTCTTGTTTAAAATGTCGGCCGTTGTGAAACGCACCGCCAGCCTGCAGTTGGGTACCCAGTTCCTCTGCCGCGCGCTGTACCACACACAGACTGTGCACTGACACGAGGACCCGACTGCCGAGAGAGGGGCCTCGCGCTAACCAATTGGGTTCTCCGGAGGAGTTTAGCGTCGAAGACCAATCACGGCGCGTCAGTCCCACGTGGGGTACACAGCACTGTCGCGTTCTGATTGGGCCACGATATGTGACCTCGCATGTTCGCCATTTTGGATTTGAAGTGACATTCGGTGCGTTCAACAACTTGTTCAAAACAAAGGTAATAATTTATATGTCCGTGCACTGCAGCGGGTGCCCGAGTGTTTCACAACACTACACGGTATGTACCAACGAGCTGTACAATTTAAAAAGAGTCTCGTTCTCAAATAGAGAAAATAACCCACCCCGTAAATAGAAGGGATCATTTTAATAAAAGCTTTCGCCTTCAAAATCTGCTCACTATATGAGCAATTATAACTGAAGCTGGCGTGACCCTGAAAAAAAGGTTATAGTTTGAAGCTTGACTATTTCACTGCGCTCTCGGTTGAAAAAGAGAGCTAGAGATGCCAAGAAAAAGAAATACGTCCTATTTCTGTGCCAAGAATAATACGAGCTCATAGAATTTCATTCAAGACTCGAAGTGCGCAGATGTGAATACCCCTTCATCTACAGCAGAGTGTCCTTTGAGTGACTTGAATTGATCGACCTATTTCTAACGAGACCTCAAGCATCTACAAGCTTTCCTATCAGCAGCACTAGGTAGGCTACAACACGTCTGCGCCTCAGCCTATCACGTGTTTCTCACTATGCCCTGCCCCACGTGGGTCCCCTCTTTCCCTCCACCCCCTCTCCCTCCACTTCACCGCCTTTCATCCAATGATCTCGCAGCTGTCTTCCTGCGCGGCTCACCATTGGCTAGGGGCTGGAAAAGCTGTCAGTCAGGAGTCCTAGTTGTCAATTAAACCCACGTTGGGTACGGCGCTGACAAATGCCTGTGCTACTCTCCCTCCTGCCTGCGAACAGTGCCTGGAATGGCTGCTTAATTAGCTTCGAATGGCTTTTCCTTTCAGCTCAAACAATCTGTCACTACCATGTGGTAAAAAGAGCCCTGCATAAAACAAAAGCAGGAGAAAAAAAAAGCCAGTAGGGGCTAAATATCAGTTTGATTCTCCCCCCCCTCCCTCTCCTCTTCAACCCCTCCATGAAAACATTTGCTGCAAAACAAAGCTTTTACCTCGCTCAAACACTGGATTCTCTCACTCATCTGCTTCTGCTCTCATTTTCTTCTAAAACTGGATTCATTTGTTTACCTGGGTGTCCATTTAGCCCTTGCATGTTTAAATTTAGGGACCAGATTTTTCTTTTTTGCTTGTGGCCTGGCTTTACCTGACCCACATGACATTTATGCTTTGACTGATATATTAGCATGCGGTGAAATGTCTTCCCCACTGTTTCATTTCACCTAGATTTAGTAGTCCTATATATATATATACACACACATATACATACATACGTGTGTGTGTGTGTGTGTGTATGTATATATTACACTTTAAATTAATGCATCCTAGCATTAATAATGGTGATAGCATGTATGACACTTAACCACATGTCGAGAGCAAATTTAAGAGGAAACTGCTGCGACAACAAATGAGAAAGGGGGGAAAATGTGAACTGTTTCAGAATAATACTTTGCGGTGACCACAGTGAGAAATACTCTATGTTATTTGTAGCATAACTAAGTGCCAAAAGTCAAGAAGTATATCAAATTTGAACTGCAGCTAGCATGCTGAGAGCTTTAGCTGTTGCTAAGCAACAAATGTATCCCTCCTGCAGATGTGGTGACATCAGTTGGGATAATAACTCATGCACTGAGGGCATGTCAGTGAGCAACACACTGGCAGACTTTAAACAAGGCCCTTTTTTTCCCTCCTGCACAGAACTTCTCCTAATGATGAATTATCTGTAGTCCTCGCTGTAATCATGGCACTCAGAGTGGGAACGCACTTAAACTACATGCAAACTCTTTGCACTTCTCCAAATCTGAGCTTCCTGAGGGAACTGTTAGTTCTCAGCCAGGAACAACCGCTGTCTGGCTTTGTGTTTCTGACAGACACTTTGACTCGTAACCCATTAACAGGTAATACCAACGGCCTCCCATTATTCTATTTAAAAAGAAAGAAAAAGTCACTCTTGGAAAAGACCATTTCTGTCATGTTTTCCAATCTGATTTAATAATTGTGCCAATTTCCTTGCAAGTTTTCAGGCCCTTTCATTTTGTTATGTTTCAAAGAATTTGACAACCACACAAATACAGAATATCAATCAAATGTGTAAAAAAATAAAATAAAATAAATTCTGAATTGAGCTGTCATGCATCCTGTTTCTGTCAGTGGTCCTTAATGCTGCCTCTAAAAATTCACCCGAGTCCACAGCTATCCAAGGGTCATCAATTTTCTAGCTACTCTGGTCTGAATTAGCAGACGAGCTTGTAAACTTGTAGCTTTTTCCTGTTGGTTTGGTTTCTTTTTGCACAGAGAATGCTCTAAGTGACCTCGAGGTGATCCAAAAGTCGTCACTACAAACCGCATCAGGACGTTCAGTCCACTTACTGGATGGATGTGTCTCGGTAACAAAAAGTAAAAACAGGAAGAAGGTGCTGTGTTCTGGACTAATAGATATTCTGTCGGCTGCTCCCTTTAGGGAATCATCTGTCTCCATCTCACCCTACCCTCTTCTGTCATGCCAACCCCGCTGGATGTCCTCCTTCACTACATCCACAAACCTCTTCTGTGCTCAGCTTCTTTTCCTCATGCCTGTTACCTCTATCTTCAAGATCCTTTGTCCAATATATCCACTTATTCCTCCTCTGCACATGTCCGAACCACCTCAGCCTTGTTTCTCTAACTTTCTTTCCAAACTGCTCAACCTGTGCTGTCCCTCTGATGTACTCATTTCCTGTCCATCCTGATCACTCACTCAAAACCTGAGCATCTTCAGCTCGGCCTGCTATAATCTATTTATTTATCTACACATTTGTGGTACATCCCAGAATGCAAAGCATAGCCGGTTACAGGTAGGTGTTTATCTGAGACACCTGTACACTTGGAAATTGGGTCATATCGAGGCTGGATAAAAAAAATAAGCTATAAGCTCCACAGACCTGCGAGAAAGCATTGTGTCAGTGCACAGACCTGTGGGGGAACCATTTCTGCAGCGCTGAAAAGTACCAGCCTCATTAACTCCGTCCCTGCAGTCAAACATGGTGGTGGCAGCATCAGACTGTGCATCATGCCTTTCAGCGACAGTCCCTAAAACAAGGGACCAATCAGGGCAGAGGGAAAGATGCATGCAGAGAAATATGAATCCATTCTGACTGAAAACCTTTTCCAGGAAGCTCAGGACCTCAGGTTTGGGTGAAGGTTTACATTTCAACAAGACAAAAACCCAAAGCACAACGTCAAGAAACCTCATCTGTCAACATCTGGAGCTAACAGAGAATCATTTCTGGAAGGACCTGGAAATGGCTGCAACCTGCTTGTGCTTAAATGTACCCAACCTTTAGGACCATTCACAAAAACACTGCACACAAAGGTACTTAAATTAAGTAGTTGTGAGGGGTGTCCTTCATAAAAGAGATATTTCAGCCTTTTATTTTGACTAAATCATGAAAACATATTAAAAAAAAATGTTTTTAGCATGGACATCATGTACTGAGTGTAGGCTGATGAGGAAAAACAAAAGTCTGAAACATACAATGTCTTACATTTTAAAAAGTCCCGCACATAATCACAAGAAAGCTTCCTAAAGTTTTGTTGAAACAGTTTAAGTGACGTGATGGGTTCTAATCTTTAATCTGCTGGATATGATTTAATAAAAAACATTAAAAGTTCATTATTGAGTTATGGAAAAATTCTAATTATCAACTAATCTTCCTGCAAAAGAACAGAAAAAAAACCCACTGGAGCAATTTCCTCTCTGCCTCTCCTCTCTTTTGACCTTTGACCTTAATCACACAAACTTGCGGGCTGTACCAGTGCATTCTGCATGTTTCAGAACAAACGCATCCAGACAAGAGCAGATACACAAGTTCAGGTTTCATTTAGCCTCCAACTCTGAGTAAGCCCTGTTATTTAGTTTAAAAGCATGCCGGCACGAGTGGCCTCACCTCACAGGCTCTGTGTGTATTTGCACTGCTTACTGCAGTTTCTAAGTACATCCTAGAAACAAGCCAACCAGGTGTATTAGAGACTTACGCCCCCCTCCCCCCTCCCCATAGGTAAGGCTGTTAAGGTAAATCTTAACGTGCTCTGCAAGAAAATACGAATTACTGTGACTCTTAAATTGATTAAATTACCCACTGTTATTATGTAGGGTGTTAAAGCACAGTTTTCTCAAAAGTCTAAGTAAAGTGCTCAAGAAAATAAGTATTACTCTAATCCACTTCAGAAATAAGAACAGCAAATTGATGTGTAAGTTGCCTCCCAAAGGCACCGTTTGCGCCTCATCATTTTCATCAAGTCTACATTAAAAACAGGAGCGTGACAGTTTGGGTAAGTTTGTTTCACGTTCAGAAACGACTTCTCTGAATAGCTTTTGCTATCAGATAAAGGGCTCACTGTGTTTCAGGTTTTACTCAAGACATTCCTTGTAGAAAAACTGTTTTATTACATTTTATCTACATGGTCTTATGTCCTATAATGCTTTTACAGTAGGTCTAAATAATAATAAAAAACCTATAAAAATTTGATAATTTAGCAACAAAAAAACCCAAGAAGAGTCAAATCCACAACAAACAGAACCTAAGAGATGGTGTATGAACACTGTAGATAACCTGCTGTTAGTTTGGTATTTCATACAACAAACACCAACACAGGAAGCAGTTTCAGGTGCATTATTTTACATCAAAACTAATTTCTCTTCTGTGACTCTTACATACCAAATCACCGGGCAGTGTACTCCAACATGCTTTGGTATTTAACCCAGAATCCCCAAAAGCATGAACTACTGTCCAATTGAATGCTAATTTCATTTAATTTAATGTAGATGCTTCCCAGTTTTGATCCTGGGTGTGATCTCAGTATGAAGG